TTTTCTAGTTGGAAACAGTTCAGGGCCGGCTGTGGCCATTTGGTTTTAATTGGAAACTGTCTCTTTAAATTTTGAGGCTATCTGTGCGCATGCATAGTAGAACCCTTCGAGGGTGGGGCTGGAGTACCCACTAACTCAGGCACCCCTATAGTCACCAGAATGGAGGTATGCAGACAGCAAGAGACCAATGAACAGCTACCAAAAGCAAAGAATGTCCACACCTTTATCTCAGTGTTCTGCCAGGCGTCTGTGGCCGCTCCGATCCTTCCCCCACGTAGTTTTACCCAAGATGGCGGCTCCTGGAGCAGCTGAGCGTCCCAGACTAGAAAGCAATAGATTTCTTGCTTCTGCCACAAATTCCCCCAGCTGTGAGCCTTCCAACCTTCAAAGTATTCCTTTATATGTGGTTCAGAGTTCTGGGACCATCCCCTGAGCCTGCTTGGTCAGGTATTCTGTGTTGTTGGCGGAGCTCTCTGCTATACGTCCACCCGATCCGCCATCTTGTATGTTCTCTTGGCATTATTTTTAAATCTCCTTTGCTGCTTCCCTCTTAGCTTTCTGATGTTTAATGTTCAGAGTATCCTAGGGCTTAGAGCTCCAACCTCTTCCCGTTATGGTCCCTTGGCTTTAACTGCTGATGACTCTATATTGATGTCTCAATCCCTATTCTCTATTAGCACAGGTTCCTATGTGTCTTCTCAACTTTGATTTCTACGTAGATATGTAATAGGTGTCTCAAACTTTGCGTAGTAAATTTCATCTTTGGTCTTCTGCTCCTCCCTCAGTAAATGACTTGAAATGTTCAGGCCAGAAATTTTGAAATCAGTCTCAGCTCTTCTCTTTCCCTCATTCCTCACGTTCATTTGATTACCATATCCTGCTAGTTCTGTCTTCAGTAAATGCCCAGAGTCTGATTCTTCTAACACCTGTGACTGCCCTCAGAGCCACCATCAGTTCTCACATGGTTTATTGCAGCCCCATTCTCAATGATCTTTCTACCTCGGTAGGTGCCCCTATGCAGACCCATCTCCATAGAGCAGCCAGAATGATGTTTTTAAAATGTAAGGTTGTCACTTTCCATCTCATTTTGGAATAAATTCCAACTCCTTACCCAGTGTACAAGACACTACTTGATGTAGCCCAAATTCTTTCTCACCTGTTGAATGAAACACTGCTTTTGTTGTTGTTGTTAAGTGCCATCGAATCTGTTCTGACGCATAGTGAACCTTTATAGGGCCTCGGGGGAATGACTGATGGTTTTGAACTGCTGGCCTTGTGGTGAGTAGTCCAGTGCTTATCCTATAGTGTCACACCAGGACTGCAAGCACTGCTTTACCATGACATTTCCACTTGTGGTTGCCATTTTTCTCTCCCAGATAGCTGCTTGCTTGGCCGCATGTCACCTTATTAAAACGGTCTTTTCTGACTATCCTACGTAAAAGAGCAATCCTTCCATCTCTCCCATTGTTATCTTCTTACCCTGCTTTATTTTTCTTTCTAGCACTTACCACCACCTGACCTTGTGTGTTAGCTTATTGTTGATAACCTCACATACATCATCCTTAGTGCCTAGTATACGTCTGGCACAAAATAGACACTCAGATATTGGGTGAATGGATAAATAATCTTGTTTAAATAACAAAGCTTCAGAGAGGATAATTTTCAAATTATATGCTTTCACCTTTTTTTCTGATTGTTCTTGGATCTATATCCTGACTAGATCTTAGTCATTTCATTAATGCCCTCACTAGTTCTAGAGTCCCTTGCCCTGTTATATAAGCTCTCAAGTTTGTGTAATTCCTATCTCACTTGCTTCTCTAGTTCTCTTTCTGGGTGATAGCAGAATCTGTCGAATGGTGCCTACCACAAATTCATGCTGGTAATTCTCATTCTCCACCTTGGTGATCTAATTGCATACTCACCATAACAGCCATTTTGCAGATTCTTTCCTCTGGATTTAAATTTCCAGTATTATTTTTCCATATGTCTTAATTTTTGAAATGGTTTTACCTCTTCTTTTATGGAGATATCTAGGCTTTATACCACTTCACTCATTTTTCCCACTTCACAGTTTCTTTATACTTTCAGTCACTGTCTCTTTTCCTTACCTTTCTCAGAGCTGTTATTCTTTCTTTTGAAGTCTACACCTCCATTTGAGCTTTTTAGCCGATAAACACTGGACTGCTAACCACAAGGTCAGCAATTCAAACCTGCCAGTAGCTCCTCAGAAACCCTGTAGTAGGTTGCTATGAGTCAGAACTGAATCCATGCTGCTTGAGAAGAACATTCCATAGTGCACTTGGCTAGCCACTTCATTTTAATACCTCCAAACAACTGCCTTTTCATTAGCTTCTTTCTTCTCTACTTTCCCCTGGATGATGCAGATGACTAAGCACTTGACTGTTAGCTGAAAGGTTAACAGTTTGAACCTAACCAGAGGTGCTTCAGCAGTTCTCTGCATACCTGGGATCAGCATTGACTGCACGGCTACTAAAAGCGCTTCACTTGCTCTTTTCTTTGTCTCTTCTTGGAATTGTCTTCCTCTTTTCTCTAACTCCTAGCTCTCCAAGGTTTATCTCAGGTCCTTCCTCTCCTGTGAACTTCTAAAACATGATAATTTTCCCTCTTTTGAAGTCTTGGTAAATAATCAAGTTCTGCCTTTTTATTTTAATATAATTTCAAACTTTCAGAAAAGTTGCAATACTAGTACAAGGAACTCCCCTATACCAATTACTCAGATTCACCGATTGCTTATATTTTGCCTCATTTGCTTTATCTTTATTTCTGTACAATTTATACAGACAAAATGATAAGCATATATATACATATTTTTTGGTCAACTACTTGAGAATTTCTATGTCAGAATTTACATTCTCTTGAATATTTTCACTTTTGTAATTATTATTTTAAATTTGGATGTTTTAATGATAGCTTACCCCATTCCTACTGCTGTGAAGTCAACTCCAACTGAATGGTCTTTATGTGAGCAGATAGCTTCCTCATCTTTCGACTTAAGATTGGCTGGTTGGTTTAGGCCATTGATCTTGTGGTTAGCAGCCCAGTGCTTAACTCATTGCACTACTAGGCCTTCTTAATGATAGCTTGGTAGATGAGACTTTTGGTATATGTAGCAATGTGATACTTAAAACTTTTTGAAGGAGCTTGTGCTTATTTCCTTAATTATTAGAATTGGAATTATAGCAACTTGGAAAGACCCAGTGAAATTTATTAACATTCTGAAAGTTAAGGTGATTTTCTTTTTCACAGTCCTGGAAGATCTTGCTCTTTGGTGCAATAAACTTAATATGTACTGGCTTTCTGCTTATGTGGTGCAGTTCTACCAACAGCATAGGTATGTCACCATTCTTATTTTTATGGTATTTAGTTATTAGTTTCATTTACTTTTCTGATTTAAAATAATGGTATATTCATTTTTATAAGAATATGTTATTTTGAATGGCATGGAAATGATTTTAAGGAGAATATTTAGAAACAAAACCTCTTAAATTATCAATTGGTTCACTTGTAATGTTTTTCCATCTGTTTATAAAACTGGTGTATTTTTATGAACTTTTTAAAAGGACTTTTTATTGTAAATCGAGTGAATGCTTACGGACAAGATGATCAATTTTACCTTCAACAAATCACACGTATACTTTGCTTCATTTCAATGGGTGCAGTCCCCTCTATGCCACAACAGTTACCCAGCTTCCTTCCTGGGGTTACTGTGTCCATTCCACCCTCCTTTCCATCCTTTCTCAGCTTTGTCCTTAGATAAATGTTGCCCTTTTGATCTTGAATGATTGACCATTTCATGGTGAACATGCCTTACTACTGTTGTTGTCCCCCTAAATACCTATTACTGCTTGGCTGAAAATTGGGCTATGAGAGTGGGTTCCATTCCAGACCTAAAGAGTGGTTGAGGGCCATAGTCTCAGGTTCTTCCAGTCTCTTTCTGACCCGTAAGCCTGATATTGTGTTTTATTTTATTTTAATCATTTTGAGTTTTGTTCTACATTTTCTCCCAGTCTTTCTGGACCAATTGGTAGAGGTAGCCAGGCACCATCTAGTTCATCTGGTCTCAGAGTCATGGTGACTGAGATTCACCTGCTCCATTGGCCCATTGGACTAGTTGGTTCCAAGCATCTTTAGTTTTCATCACCCTTCTTTCTTTTCCACATGGAGAGACCAATAGTTGCACCTTAGGTGGCTGCTCATGAACTTTTAAGATCTCAGTTGCTACGCACCAAAGTAGAATATAAAACATTGTCTTTGCAGACTCTGTTTTGCCAATTGATCATGGTGTCCTTTGAGACTATGGTCCTGAGCCCCCAGGCCTACCTACTCATTGCATTAAATTGTTTGATAATATCTAAGAAGTTTGCATCATTTTGCACCTTGTATTCTCCACCACATTCATAGTTGTGTTTATAGCAGGAACAAGTATCTTCTTTCAAACTCATATATTTGTGGGTAGACTTTCATTCTCTCTCCCATACCTCTTCAGCCTTTGTATCTGTCTGTGTATCTGTCCACAGAACACTGTTTGTTCCAGGGTTGTTTATAGAACAGTACTTACCACTATCCCCTTTAACCCTTGCATACTGTGTCTTCAAAAACTGGTTTATTTTTAATGTGATAAATTATTATGTTAGTTTATACAGTATATAAGAGTTTGAGATTTATTGGCTTTTTTTAAAAAAAGAAAATTTGGTAATTTTTCTTGTGCCTTAACCTGTAATATTTCTGTACTTTTATTTTCTTACTATTATTCAAACAATGCATTTTAAATAGTACTGAGATGACAGAGGCAGGTAGAATAATGGTCACAATGCTTTTGCATTTTTCCTGATGGCTATATTAGGCTGTAAAGTGAGCTTTTATACTAAGCAACTTTGGCCACATATATAAATCAAATTAACTAGATAATTGCTAATATATGAGGTTGGTCACTGACATGACTTTTTTCAGTAATAGAGAGCTTTGGTATGAGCAATATTGATATATTCTTTTTTTTTTTTTTGGTTAAGTTTTTATTGTGAATTGAGTGAAAGTTTACAGGGCAGATCATCAGTTTTACATTCAACAAATCATACACCTTGTTTCATTACAATGATTATAATCCCCTCCATGTACCATTAATTAACATTATTTTTCTCTTATTTACTTTAGCTTTTTTTTTCAAACACTCAGGCATATATAATACACCACCAAAGAGCACATTCTCTAAGTCTGCCTCCTGGCCACCAGCTCTTAGTCCCTCTCTTCCCATGAATCTAGATTCCTCAGCCGCTCCCCATCTCCATGTCCGCATCTCTGCTTCCATTTCTGGTGTCACTGCTTTTCTGGATAAGGTCCTGCATTCTGCTTGTGCTCTTCTCCCTTGATGGTCGTAGGGTCCTTTGTTTCTGGCCTGTAAGATTAACTACTCCCCCAATTTTATTATAAAACTTTTACCTTTCAGTTGTGACAGTTGGAATTAGTCACGATAACAATTACTCACTATTGAATCATACGAATTTTATCCCCATCTCCTTTTACCAGACCCATCTAGACAAGATGAATACTATTCAGTGGGGACTCTTTCTTCCCCCACACACTCTTAAACTAACTCCCTCTTGAAACCTTGTAAGTCAGTCACTTCATGTCTTTATTGCCCCCTCATTTTAGGTAGCCAATGCCTACGTTGCCAATACTGATATAGTCTTAACAGTAGATTCAGCAACATTTTAATTTATCTTTTTCTTGTTTTTGCAGCTTTAACTGCCTATACCTACCTGACCATTTTTGATCTTTTTAGGTAAGTGTTAAAATTCTCAGTATTTTTATTGCCTTGAGATAATCTTTAAACATTAAGGCTCAAACGTAAACTATCCCCTGAAGTCTTCCTTGAACCAACCAATATGAGGGTAAGTACAAAACTGTTGCTTCAAAGTCGTAGATATCTTTATTAAACAAAATTAATCGAATGTGAAGCTGTGGTTTCTTGACATGTATACCATCTAAATCTTACACTTTGGATGGTCATGTTTCCATCTCTGACAATCACGAGGATGGTACAGGATCAGGCAGTTTCGTTCATTTGTACATAGAGTCACTGTGAGTTGCAAGCTACTCGATGACACCAGGCAACACCAACAACCCTTTCCAGAGGAATTCTGTCTTCTTTCACTTATACCATATCAAAATGGCAGTTGTGGCATTCTGAAGGGAATCAAAATTGTGTTCATTTTAAATGTTCTTTGAGTTTTATGAACAAAAAGAAGTCTGAAAGGGCAAGATCTGATGGTAAGGTTTCCCAATTAAATTCTTATAGAACAGCCTTTGCTACTCTCAGAGAATGAGCAGGTGCATTGTTGTGATAGAAAAAAATTCCTCAGGTCGAGAACCTAGAGCCATAGGGCGTGGAGGAAGGTAGGATCTCACTTGAGTAGTATTCAAGCTGTCTTAGGTGGGGCTGATGAAATTAAATGCGGATAGGTCTCTTGTGATACAGTAGTGAATAATTGTTATCAGGACTGCTTGTGAGGGTTGGAAATGTAAAGGTAGACGTTTTGTAGCAAGGAGGGGAGTGATTGACTTTGCAGTCTCGGAGCAGAGGTCTCTGGGACCATCAAGGGAGAAGAGTGGAGAGCGGGACCCTACCCAGAGTAGCAGTGACACCAGAGATGGAGACAGAGACGATGATGTGGAGAGATGGAGCAGCTGGGGACTTTAGACACAGAGTGGGAGAAGGGCTGTGTGCTGACGACCAGGGGGCAGGCAACCTTTGGTTGGTTGATGATGCATGGAGGGGATTATAACCATGACAATGAAATGATATACTATAGGATGAATGTGAAACTAATGTTCTCCTGTGTAAACTATCACATAATTCACAATAAAACATTAAAAATAAAATTCCTCAGTTCAACTTTCCTGGTCTTTTTCTCATCGAGCAGTTTTCAACTTTCTTAAAACTTCTTAATAATCCCCTGTGATTGCCTTGTGTCCTTTGAGAAAATCTATCAAGATTATGTGTTTGGGATCCCAAAAGACAGTAGCCATGACCTTCTGACTGACTTCTCTGCCTTGAATTGAATTGGCACGGCAGATCCTCTTAGAACCCAGTGCTTTAATTGGATGTTTTTAGGAAGGCAATCTAGTGGGTCAAATGTATTACTTAGGGAACTTGTCTGCAGTCATCCACTGATTGCAGAGACATGTTTATACATGTTTTGTTTGGAATAAATCTGTGCATGTATGAACTGGAACCCTAGGAGCAACCCTCTTAATTATTAAAGTATGCCTGTCTTTAGGATTATGTTGTTTTTAAAAATAATTATGTACAATAATTTTGATAACAGCAATTTGAAAGGTTAGATGAGAGGTTTAAGGGACAGTAAGTGTATGTTCAAGATGGTGGAGTAATTGGGAAAAGGAAAATGATTGTATGACTTGATTGTATCACATAGTCAGTGTTGCTGGGTTGTACATGTTGAAACTGTTAAAATAGTGTATGTTTTAGTTTTGACAAAAACTCAATGTTTTAAGGTTGAAAAGGAATTTGTAAAGAAGTTTTGTTTACGTGCTGTCATGTCAGTTCTGACTGACAATGACTCTGTATAGAGTTTCCAAGGAGCAACTGGTGGATTTGAACCACCAACCTTGTAGTTAGCAGCCCAGTGCTGATTCTAATCTTACAGTGCCACACCAGGACTACTTTCTTTGTTTATAGAATGGTAATTTGCTAAACAAATAATAATATTGACATGATATACTTACATAAACAACAGCAATTAGAAGGTGTAATGGAAGGGAATATCCCATATGAATAGCAGCAGAAAAGATAACTACCCTGGCATAAACTTAACAAGACACATAACACTCTGTGTGAAGAAAATTTCAAGATGTTTCTGGACACACCAAAAAAAAAAAAACCTGAAAAAATAGAAAGGCATACCAAGGACTTGAATCACCAAAGATCCACACTCATTCTGTTGAGTTGATTCTGGCTCATGTCTACACTATAGGCCAGAGTAGAGCTGCCCCTAGGGTTTCTGAGACTGTAAGTCTTTATGGGCGCAGACAGCATCATCTTTCTCCCATAGAGCAGCTCGTGGGTTTAAGAATATTTTAAATTGCATCGGTGAGGAAAAGGCCAGGAAAGTAGCACCCAGGATTTTTTTTCCATCATGACAGTGCACCTGCTCATTCTTTGTGGGTAACAAGGACTGTCATATAAAAATTTCCTTGGGAAACCTTATTGCATTTACCTGCAGACCTAATCTTGCACCTTCAGCTTCTTTTTCAATTAGAAGTCCAATACTTAACGTTAAAATCATCAAAGCTGTTGGTTATGTGCCGTGGAGTCACTTCTGAAGACTCTGTACAGGGCTTCCGAGGCTGTAAATCTTTACAGGAGCAGAAAGCGTAATCTTTCTCCCGCGGAACTGGTAGTTTTGAACTGCTGATCTTAAGGTTCACAGTCCGACTTGTAACCACTATGCTACCAGAACTCCATCATAAAAGATGTTGTTGTTGTTATTAAGTGCTGTCGAGTTGGTTCTGACCCATAGCGACCCTGTATAGGCTTTCCAAGGAGACGCTGGTGAGCTTGAACCGCCACCCTTGCAGTTCAAACGGCTTTGCAGTCTGGCGCATTAACCCACAGCGCCACTCCAAGACTCCTAAAAGATGTTAATTCTCCCTAAATTAATCCAACTGGACATGTTGATTCTAATGTTTATATGAAACAATAAGCAAGAATGGGTTTGATGGGGACTAGATGACTCATTAATAGATCAGAGGGAGCACAAAAGCTAAACATTTATGAGAACTTAGTATGTATTAAATGTGATATTTTAAAATACATAAAATTCAGAAGCAATAAAAGAATATATTGATGAATTCAATTCGATTAGATTTTTAAAATATGGATACCAAAATATTGTAAGCAAAGACAAAACATTGATAATTACCTGGGAAGAAGATACATGTAATTCATATCTCAAAGGTTTAATTTTGCTAATATTTAAAGAGCCGTACAACTTAATGGAATCCTGATGTGGCTCTGTAGGATAAGCAGTAGACCACAAGGATGTTTGACTTGCTAGGTAAGCAGTTCAAATTCACCAGCTGCCCCTCAGAAACCCTATATAGCGTCCCTATGAGTCGGAACTGACTCCACCTCACTTAACAACAACAACAACTTAATAAAAAGAATAAACATGACAGTTCATATGGAAATAGTGATTACAGGTGCCTAATCTCAACTGGTCTGCCAAAGACCCCCTGAGCACCAGCCTTAGTCCCCCGCACGGCCCCATTTCCGCTCCGACAAGATGAAAGAAATGATCATGAATCTGGAAAAACTCGCCAAACTGCAGGCACAAGTGCGCATTGGTGGAAAAGGAACTGCTCGCATAAAGAAGAAGGTGGTTCATAGAACAGCCACAGCAGATGATAAAAAAAACTTAAGTTCTCCTTAAAGAAACGGGGTAAATAATATCTCCGGTATTGAAGAGGTGAATATGTTCACAAACCAAGAACAGTGAACCACTTTAACAATCCTAAAGTTCCGGCATCTCTGGCAGCCAACACTCACTATTACCAGCCATGCTGAGACAAAGCAGCTGACAGAAATGCTCCCCAGCATCTTAAACCAGCTTGGTGCAGACAGTCTGACGAGTTTAAGAAGACTGGCTGAAGCTCTGCCCAAACAATCTTTGGATGGAAAAGTGCCACTTGCTACTGGAGAGGATGATGATGATGAAGCTCCAGATTTTGTGGAAAATATTGATGAGGCATCCAAGAATGAGGCTAACTGATTATAGAGTTAACTTCTGAAGAAGATAAAACTTGAAGAAGTTACTTGGAGCTGCTATTTTATATTATGACTGCTTTTTCAATTGGTTTTGATTATGGATCTGATAAAATCTAGATCTCTTAATATTTTTAAGCCCAAGCTCTTTGGACATTGAAGCTCTTTTCAGCTTTTGCTTTTACATAATTCATTCTTTGCAGATAATTATGCTGAAGAAGCCTGGGAATAAATTTGAGACAAATGTTAATAAAGTTCTTTGCCTCGTTAAAAAAAAAAGTGACTACAGGAATTATAAATGTATATTTATGAAAAATTGTTCAGTGTCACTAGCAGTAGAAATGTAAAATAAAATTACTCTATGATGCTATGCTTTCCCTCTAAGATAGGCAAAGATGAAAAAGTTTGAGAATGCCTGTGTTATTAATGGTCTTGAGGAATAGGGACTATTCTTTTTTGTTGTTGTTTCTTGAAAACGACTTTATTGAGATAAAGTCACTACCATACACTTTAGTCATTAGATGTGTAATTTGTTGGCTTTTAATATAGTCACAGTTGTACATCCATCACCAGTCAGTTTAATAACATTTTGTTCTAAAGCATAATAGTTACATGCATAAAATCAATGAGCTCTAGAGTAAAGATTTTAGAGATTTTCATTCATTTTTTAAGAGTAGAGTTTTCAAAGATTAATAAGACATAGTAAATGAAATTTTCAGACTTTTTATTACAGATGAATCGCATCTACATTTGCCAGTTGCTGTTGTTAAGTGCTGTTGAGTTGGTTCCAACTCATAGTGACCCTGTGTAGGGTTTTCAGGGAGCAGCCAATGAGTTTGAACTGTTGACTTTATGGTTCAGAATCCAGTGCTGATCCTACAGCACTACACCAGGAGTCCAGTAGTATGCTTTAAATTATATACATGATCTCATAGAAAAAATTTACAATTTATAATGTAAGGTTTTTGTTTAAATGTTTTATTATGAATTATGTGATAGTTTACATGGGAGAATATTAGTTTTACATTCATCCTATCATATATTGTTTCACTGCCATGGTTACAATCCCCTCCACGCATCATCAACCAACCAAAGGGTATACCCTGCAAGCCTGCCCCCTGGTCGTCAGCACACAGCCCCTCTCCCACTCTGGGTCTAGAGTTCCCAGCCACTCCATCTCTCCAGGTCATCGTCTCTGCCTTCATCTCAGGTATCACTGCTTCTCTGGGTAGGGTCCTGCTCTCCACTCTTCTCCCTTGATGGTCCCAGGAACCTCTGCTCCTAGACGGAAAAGTTAATCACTCCCCTCCTTGCTACAAAACGTCTACCTTTACATTTCCAACCCTCACAATCAGTTCTGATAACAATGATTCACTATTGTATCACAAGAGACCTATCTGCATTTCCTTTCATCAGCCCCACCCAGACAGATTGGATACTACTTAGTAGAGATTCTACCTTCCTTCACATCCTCTGGATCTAGGTTCCCGCTGGAAAGCTTGTAAGCCAGTCACTTCTTGCCTCTGTAGCACCCCCATTCTGGGTAGCCAATGTCCAAGTTTCCTATCCCTGTCCTCTTCATGTGTGGAGGGGATAGGAATGAACCTTGCTGTAAAGGTTTGTTCCCTCTTTTGAGCTACTGCATCCATAGGTATAGGTCAAGTTCATCACATTGTATCAGATTACTTTTTTTTCCCTCTTCTTTCTTCTTCTAGTTGAGCTCTGAAGTTTTAATAGTAGATTTTTTATTATAGTCACTCACTTATTAGCCGGTTTTATCTAGTCCAATTTTCAGAAAATTCAAAATCATCCAGCTTTTTAGCATTAATTCAATGTAACTTCAAAATTCTTGCTGCTTCCTTGAGTTGAAACTGAGGGAACAACTAAGAGAACTTTGTTGTGATGTGTTTGAAATATACTCAGGGAGTTAGCTTTTGGTTACAGTCATTGGACACCCTCTGGAGCTATGTGGCAGAGAGCAAGGATGGAAAATTATTACTTCTACAGAGTTAGTGATGTTTCATGGAATCCAAAGGCAAGGTTTGTCTGGGCTCCAAGACTACAGCTGTTGGAATTCAACTTGTCTTCTCTTTTGTCTCCCATCACTACCTCTCGATGCTTGGGAAGTAATTAAATATATAAGCGAATTAGATCTCTCAGTCTGATTTCTTACCATAGATCAGCTTTCTCTGCTACCAAGTTCAGGGATAGAAATATGGTGTACTCTTGCCAACTTTTAAATGTACATTTCTCCTGTTCAGGAAAACAGCAAATTCAGGGGGCTTTTAGTTTATGTTAATGTTGGAAAAGTTTGGAAAAGGATAAGGAGATGATTACACAATATGAATAGATTAATCATTGTCACTAAATTATACATTTAGAAATGATTGAATTGCTATAGGCTTTGTTGTGCATATTTTTACTACCCAGCTACCCATAAACAGAATGTAGACTTCTGCTACAAGATGGCAGAGACATTGAGCAGACCCTCTGCAACAGGGACATGGGAAACTCAAGTGAAACTGATACACATGGTGATCCTGGAACCCTGAGCTTCGGGGGAAAGGACAGAGAGGTAGATTGAGACCAATTAGAAGAGGAAGCTGAAAAGGAGAGAGAGAAGAAAAATGGGCAGACTGTTGGCTGGCCAGGAATGGTGTAGCCACCTTGAGCTTTTATCAGTACATTGACCTGGAGGCAAAGGACATGGCCAGAGGTTGGTGGCAAGTGGGGTATTGTTCTCGCTTGTTCCCCATGCCCTCCTGGTAGCTGGGGGCATGGCCAGTCCCCATCCTTACCAGCCCAGCAGCCAGTGGCACCCCCTCCTGCACAGTCTTTACTTTGCCTGGGCCTGGGTGCTGGATGTACCACCCCTGTATCTGGAGGCACAGGAACCTGCCCTGAACAGATAACTTTATTCACACTTCCAGTCTCTCTCACTTCTACCAATAGATAGGTAGTGAGTGCCTGAGCATATCAATTAAATATAAATACGATACCACAGTATCTCAGAGACAACAGACAATTTCACCTTACATGAAGAAACGAGAATGCCTCAAATAAGAGACCAAGTCGAGAGTCAGAAAATGCAGTATCAGAAATGGTATTGGAACTACTTGATAGGAAATTTCGAAGAATGATATTTAGGTACCTTTAACAAATTGAAAACTACAGATGAACTCAAGGAAAACACAGAGAAAATGTTAGAAGAATTCAAGAAAACACTTCAAGAGCAAATCGACGAAATAATTGAAAAATTGGAAGCCCTATAAAAGCTGCAGTTAGAAAGCTAGAAGATTAATAATACACTGAAAGGGCAAAAACATCCACTTGAATCACTGGAATGCCAGATTAGTGAGCTTGAAAACAATTCTCTCAATATTCATTTTCTAGAGGAACAATCAGGAAAAAGAACAAGAAACTCCGAAGAAAGCCTAAGATTTATGTGGGACATTATCAAGTGAAGTAACTTAACTTGTGATCAGAATTCTAGAACAGGACAAGACAAAAAACTGCAAACAACCATAGATAATACTATCAAGGACTTATAGAAAGAAAGCTTTCCTAACATCTTGAAAGACAAGAAAATAATACCTTGGAGAAGTTGAATGAACTCCAAACAAAATAGACTCCAAAAGACTAAGACATAATCAAACTTTTGAAAGCCAAAGACAAGGAAAGAATTCTGAGAACAGAATAGGTGTCTTGTGATACAATAGTGAATAATTGTTATCAGGACTGATTGTGAGGGTTGGAAATGTAAAGGTAGACGTTTTGTAGCAAGGAGGGGAGTGATTAAGTTTTCAGCCTAGGAGCGGAGGTCCCTGGGACCATCAAGGGAGAAGAGCGGAGAGCGGAACCCTACCCAGAGAAGCAGTCACACCAGAGATGGAGGCAGAGACAATGATGTTTGTGGTGCTGTGGAATAGAGCATTGGCCTGCAAGGTCGCCAGCCACTCCTTGAAAACCCTATACAGGGTTGCTGTGAGTCGGAACCAACTCAATGGCACTTAACAACAACGACAGCTAACCTAAAGGAGTCCTGGTATGATGTTATAGGATAAGCACTGGGATGCTAACTGCAAGGTAGGTGGTTTGAACCCACCAGATGCTTCTCGAAAACTCTTTACAGGGTTGATACGAGTTGGAACTGACTTGACAGCACTTAACAACAGCAAGCTAACCTAAAGGTTGGCAGTTCAAACCTACCCAGTGGCACCACAGAAGAAAGGCCTGGCAATCTGCTTACATAAAGATTGTTGTTATTATGTCACATTGATTCTGACCCATACAGACCCTGTCTGGTAGAGTAGAACTCCCAGATCTCCAGGTCTTGTCTTTCACAGAGCAGCTGGTATGTTTTAACTACTGAATATGCAACCGAGTGTTTAACCATTGCACAATCAGAACTCAGCCAAGAATACCCTATGGAGCAGGTCAGTGCTGTAGCACATGGAGTCACCATGAGTCAGAGTCAACTTGATGGCAAAAAGGTAGTTTTGGTTTTGCCTAGGTTCCAATTCCAGATTGTTCTGGGGAAGGACCTTGACCCAATGTAGGTCAGGTGCCTACCTCTGGACGAGTTAGTTGTTGCTAGGGGGCGGGTCATGTTGTAAGAACCTAACAGCGCCTAATGTAACAGTGTACATGGGAAATTCATAACTTTGAAGAGAGAACTGTGAGCTAGTGAAGATAGCCTAAAGGCTCCCTGTTTCATGGGCACTTTCGTGGTAACATTTGAGAGTTTCAAAATGCTTAGATCTTGATGTTTTTAAGATTCATGCCATAGGAGTATAAGGATGCCTTATCATTAATCATGTAGCTAAACCCATTTGATTAGTTCTAAAACAGATCATTGTTACCCGAACTTCACAGTTCAGGTTACTGTGCTGGTGGTGTGCCATGGAATCGGTTCAGACTCATATTGACCCTGTACAGGGTTTCCAAGGCTGTAAATCTTGACGGGAGTAGAAAGCCTCATCTTTCTCCTGTGGAACAGCTGGTAGCTTCGAACTGCTAACCTGGAGGTTAGCAGCCAGACTCGTAACCACTGTACTACCAGAGCTCCATCAGGTAACTGTTGTTGTTGTTAAGTGCCGTCAAGTCAATCCCGACCCATAGCGACCCTGTAGAGAGTTTCTAAGGAGCGGCTGGTGAGCTTGAACCGCCAACCTTGCAGTTCAAACAGCTTTGCATTCTGGCACATTAACCCACAGCACCACACTGTAAATCACTCTAAATTGTTGTAGAGTAAATTTCTATTGTAATTAGAAAATGAACATTAATTTACCCAGAATCAAGGTATATTAATATTTAGTTAACTTTTGACATAGATTAAGTAAGGTGTATAAAAGTTGAAATTTAATATGAATTTAATATATTGCTGTTATTATTGTCATTTTTTTTAGCATTCTTAGTTAAGAAAATCATTTAATGAAGACAACTTACTGTTTGAGTAAAGGAAGTCTGGGTTTAGTTTCCATTCCATCTAACTGACTCAATGATGTGTCCTGACTTTTTTCAGCATCTTTATAGATTGAACTGTCATCTTTCCAGGAAAGCCATGTGCTAGATTCTTGTAACTTGATTATGATTTATTAGAAGCATTTATTATCTATTTAGTCTGTCAAACACTAGTAATTTTCAGCAATTCAGCAACCAGTAAGTCTCAGCAGTTCTGACAATGTGATTTTTCCTTGCATGTTCTCTTTTAGCTCTAGTTTTAATGCTAAATTTATTTTCTTTTTTCTTAGTTTAATGACATGTCTAATAAGTTATTGGGTAATGATGAGGAAACCTAGCCCTGTCTACTCATTTGGGTAAGTTCAAATTATCTTATGCTAACTATTACCATTAAAATAATAGTTACGTTGTTGTTGTTAAGTGCCATCAAGTCAGGTTCCGACCCATAGTGACCCTAAATAGGGTTTCCAAGGAGCCACTGGTGAGCTTGAACCACCGACTTTGTGGTTCAAACCGATTTTGCAATCTAACGTGTTAACCCACAGTTCTACACCAGGATTCCTAAAAATAAGAGTTACAGTAGCGTACTTCTAGAAAATAAATGCTGCCTGCTTAATAGAACAAGGAGCCCTAGTAGTGCATTATGAGTTGGGCTGCTGACCACAAGGTCAGGAGTTCCAATATTCCTGCTACTGCATGGGAGAAAATGAGGCTTTCTGCTCCCATAAAGATTTACAACCTCGGAAACCCTGTACAGGGTCGCTGTGAGTTGGAACTGACTCGATGGCACACCACCACCACTTAATAGGACAGCAATCAAATTATGAAAGTGGATAGTAAAACTGCATCCAAGAGGATTCCAGAAAAGAAATATGAATATTTAAAATATAAAGCATGTTATAATAAAATTGTTCACATTCCGTTCTCAGATATTTTGGGAATCTTTTACTTTAGACAAACCACAAAGGATTCTAATGTAAATTGTCATTATAGATATTAAAGTAAATGTATATTTTAATATTACAGAATGGTAGAGATGGATTTTTATTTCAAGACTTTGGATTTGTGATAGCAGTTGACTGAGAAAGAAGTTGAGACTTTCCATTTTGTGTTTTCTAGAAATCAATGTTGAAAGCTAGAAGATAATTTTTATATAGGTATCCTCAACTTTCCAAAAGTTTGCTTTCTGTCACTTCACTTTTACAAAAGACCTACCTTAGTACTTGTTTTCACTAACTGAAAGAAATTGTGAAGAGGATTTTCGTTCTGATGAAGAGGTGGAAATTGAAAATTAGCATTCAGTGTTTGTTTTGCAGCGAGCTGTTAAATAGCACCTCTGAGCAGGGGACGGCAGCATTGCCAGGCTCCTTCCCCAAGAACTGCACTTACTGTCTTGTTGCCGTAGCTTTGAACTGTGTCTATGAAACTATATGTTAGTGTTATATTAGGATTTGTGTGTTTAGCATGACTTATGTTTGGGGTCTAAGAACATTTAATAATGAAATGTGCAAAACCAGGAGTGAGAAAAACAGAAGGGAAGAAGAACATGCTCAGCATTTCTCTAAGCTAAAAGAACTGAAGACAAAAATTTAAGCCTCGACTTGAGATATTAAAGGGTTCCCTAGGTAAAATATTTAATGATACAAGAAGCATCAAAAGTAGATGGAAGAAAAAAAAAGTAGAAGATATATACAGAATCACAGTATCAAAAAGAACTGGTTGATGTTCAGCAAATTTCAAGAGGCAGCATATGATCAGGAACCGATGATACTGAAGGAAGAAGTCCAAACTTCACTGAAGGCATTGACAAAAAAACAAGGCTCCAAGAATTGATGGAATACTAGTTGAAATGTTTGAACAAACTGATGCAGCAGTAGAGGCCTTCAGTCATCTGTGCCAAGAAATTTGAAAGAGAGCTCCCTGGCCAACCAACCAGAAGACATCCTATCTGTGGCTATTACAAAAAAAGGTAACCCAGCAGAATGTGAAAACCATCAAACTATATCATTAAAATCACATTCAACTAAAACTTTGCTGAAGATAAGTTTTAAATGGTTGCAGCAGTACACTGACGGAGATGCTGAATTCAGAAGAGGACGTGGAACGAGAGATATCATTGCTGGCATCGGATCTTGGCTGAAAGCAGAGAATGCCAGAAAAATGTTTACTTGTGCTTTATTGACTATGCAAAGGCATTCATCTGTGTGGAACATAACAAACGATAAATAACGTTGTGAACAATGGGAATTCCAGCGCACTTAATTCTGCTCAGGGTAATAGGGTTGGACTACTACTGTGGTAAACAGTGGTAAAGGTATAGAAATCCATCTGTGGAACTCTGGGACTCTAAGTTAAGAGTTTTGGTTGTAAGTGACTGAAGTCCAATTCAGACTACTTTGGGAACAGGTATAATTTGTGTAACAAAACTGGAGAGAGTGGAGTGACTGGAACACTCAGGACATGGTCTTTTTCTTCCCTCTAAGATCTGCTTTTCTCTGCATGTCTGGTTTAATCTCTCAGACCATTTTTACTTCCCTAGCTGGAACGGTAACTCCGAGCAAGACCTTAACTCACATATTCTTACCTTCACTTTAGAAAGCAAAGGGACCTTCCCCACCTATAGTCTCCAAAATTGTTGGAAAGAATTGTTGATTGGTCCAGCTCGGAACAGTTGTTAACAAGACTTTAAACCAGTTTCTGTGGCCAGGGAGACAAGGTCATGTAAGGACATGACAGCTTCAGTTTTACTTAGAGTAAATAGGAAACGAGGGCGCAGCTAAATAAAGTTAAACATTCAAATATAATTGCATCAATCTCATAGCCTGAATTACCATCTATATTTAGTGACTTCACAATTCCAATTCACAGCCCTAAGATCTGTCCATAGTTTTGTTTGGCTTCTTGACAGCTTCATCTGAATATCTAATTGTGTCCTTAACCTAAGACAGAACTCTAGTTTTCTTCTCCTAAAACCTCTTCTGCAGTTTTTCCCATCTCAGTAAGTAGTACCACCACTTAGTTGCTCAATTAAAAAATGCTATGTGTTATCATTGATTACTGTATTTCTCACTACCTACATCTATACATCAAGTATGTCAAGGGAACCTCCAAACACATTCAGAATTTTCTCTCCTCCCAATTTGTGTGGCACTGTGGGCTAATGCGTTAGATTGCAAAGTCATCTGAACTGCAAGGTCGGTGGTTCAAGCTCACCAGCTGCTCCTTGGAAACCCTATACATGGTCGCTATGGGTCAGAATCAACTCGATGGCATTTAACAACAGCTACCATCGTAGGAGTCCTGGTGTGGCACTGTGGGTTAATGTGCCAGACTGCAAAGCCATTTGAATTACAAGATTGGTGGTTCAAGCTCACCAGTCACTCCTTGGAAACCCTATACAGAGTTGCAACTGACTCAACGGCACTTAACAACAGCAACAACCATTATAGATTAAGGTACCTTCATTTCTTACCTTTAACAATGTCTAGTATCCTAAATGGTGCCCATGCTCTTGCAACACTATAGTCCATTCTCCACATAGTAGCCAGAATGTTTTTTTGTTTAATAAAATAGAAAACAAAAAATTCAACCCTAAATAATACTGTCATTATTTTCCATAAAACCATCTGGTTGTTTCCCACCATACTTAGAATAAAATCTTGACTTTTCCATAATTTACAAAACCCTTATATGAACTGGACCCTGGCCATGTCTCTTTAAACTGTTACTCATAAACCCTTGATGCTTCAGACCATACTGTCTTCCTGTCATTTGAGCAGAACTAGCTCATTTCTGCTTTAGCACCTTTGTACAAGATATTCTCCCTGACTGAAATTCTCTTCACCTGCTGTTTTCCAGAAAGACTCCTTCTTGTTTCAGATTTTTATATCACTAAATTGTGATATCATTAAGTGATGGGGTGGCCCAATCTGAAATAGTTATCTGTTTATCCTCTTGTTATATCAGACTACCATAATTCTTAGAACAGAATTTATGAAGTAAGTTATTTATTTGCTATTCTTTGTCCCCTTTAAAATGTAAATTTCTTGCTAGCAGGTACCATATCTTGTTCTCTCTTATATTCTTGACAATCTGACTGTACTTGTCATTCTGATGCTGTGTATTTGTTGAATGAGTGGAAGGAAGAAAGGAAGGAGGGAAATATTTAAAGTAAGAATATGAAGGGGGAAAAAAATTACATGCAGCCTAAGTAGTCAGATAGCTGTTATGGAGGGTACTTTCTTAGTAACAGATGTTTTGGGTTGGAGGGACTGTATCCATTCAGACATACTGATTGTTCTTTAAAAACCAGAATATCTCATAAATTCCTGACTTATTTTAAATTATAGCTTAATCTCTGAAAAAGTAGAAATGCCACAAGCATGAGGTAAATAGACATACTGAACCTGATTCTAACCTCAAAGGATAACAAGTTGATTGGTGGAACATGTTAGGGTTAAAAAGACAGGAGGACTTTGAGATCAGAGAAACCATTATATAATTTACCACATCAAATGTAACACAAAAATTGTAAGGATTTTTAAAATAGTGATACAGTCAAGTCTCAAAATAATGTAGACAGGTAAAATCCATAAAAAATATTGAGAATATTTGTAAACTCTTGCTATTAATTTTTTAAAATCCTTTATGAAGTCATGTTGTTGTTGTTAAATGCCGTTGAGTCTGTTTCAACTCGTAGTGACTTTGTATAGGGTTTCCAAGGAGCAGCTGGTGAGTTTGGACCACTGACCTTGTGTTCCAGTGCTTTCTCCCACAGGACCACACCAGGACTCCTTATAAAGTCATAGAAAAGGGTAGCTTAAGCTCAGTTCATAAAGGAAGAGTCTGAGCTCCTTGGTCAAACACAAGTTTAATAAGAAGCAACAATCAATGTGGTTGTGACTTTTTAAATGAATGATCATTATATATAACTTTAAAAAAAACACCCAAATCCTTTCACTTTGATTTGAGTTTGACTCATAGCACGCCTATAGTTCAGAGAAGAACTGCCCCATAGGGTTTCTAAGGCTGTGATCTCTATGGACATAAACTGCCACATCTTTCTCTCATGCAGTGGCTGGTGAGTTTGAACTGCCGACCTTTCAGTTAGCAGTCTAGTACTTCACCACTCCACTACCTGTGCACCTTATGTATTGCCTGAAAGGACATTCATAGACAGCATATTGCTAGAGATAGTGAGGAAATAGTTGTCTTGTGATGTTCTACATGTGTCAGATTACATCTGGCATAATGTGTTGATTTTGCATGTCTCTCTTTGTGAGGGACCTTTGTAACTTAAAACTCATAAATCAGAATTTTTAGTGAGTCAAATTCTGGGTGTTAACAGGCTAGAAAA